GCGTATCAAAAGAAAAACGTGCATGAAGAGGATCCGCGCTGTGTAACTCATGGGTGAGGTCAGTATGCCTCTAATGAGTCTTAATGAACGAGCGTGAGAGAGCTAGCTGCACGTCGATGGCTTTTCATTAATGTTAATTGTGCGAGAGATAAGAATATTGCCCAGAGGGTCTTTCCGTGGAAGGCGAAAAATCGTCCCGGTTAAATCGAAATTAACGAGGCGGAGTCGCGCGAAGGCGGAGCGATTAATGCGCCGAGCGGTTAAATTTCCGTAAGTGCCCCTCGGGATATTTTCCTCGAACAAACTGAACGGTCTCAACGAGATTTCCCTATCGATGTATGCGGCGCCAGGAAACGTTATTTCGAAAGGATTCGCTGACAAGATAATCGATAAGTCAATACGATTAAAGCTTGAAGGAACGGGGGATCTTGCTTGATGTAATAAATACAGAAATAGAGGAAAAAAGAGAGTGATGGCTTTTATCTTATCGTGGAATTCAAGTGAGGGAGCAAATCAGCGTTTATTGTGAATCGACCGTAAGAGGAATGTAACAGAGGGCTTTAGAGCGAATCGACTGATAGCATACTTTAAACAAGCTACATCAACGATGACGTTTCATGCGGGTACGAGACGATCAAATTACACGATACCCTTACACATAAATCGCGCAAACAATTGATCGGTAATTTCTCAACGTTCATTCTCTCAACAGTCAGTCTGTGAATTAATAAAATAATAACCTTTGGATATCACACATCTGTTCCTGCATGAGTAACAGAGCACTGCTACAAATCTTCATCCTAAAATTTCCTAACTTATTTTCTCTGTTTTTCAAATAAAATTTTATTTTATCTAACTTTCAATGACATTTTGATTTTTTTCTATTTTCGTTCTGAGATCGTTAAATATTTTGTCGAGAGATCAATTTAACGCAGCAATGTAAATTACTATTGATGTCGCTGATTCTGTTTGTCTTTCATTTTTGAAGCGTAAATGTGTGATGCACGCGTATATTAAATTTCTTCAAAAAGGAAAATTTTTAATTTTCCAGAAATTTTGCAAAATTCTCCGACTTTCATTTCCCTGATAATTCTCTGATTTCCAGTTTTGTGGTAACCCTGAATAATATAACAATAATTCTTCCACAATTTTAAGCGAATCTGCGATCGCGCGTGTCAGGAGCAGAATCCGTGGTTGGTATTGCGAATTCAACGCTTTGATCGACAGGAATGTCCGCGAATGTTTTACCGGACGATAAAAATCGGTTATCGGGAGATCACGGGAAAACGGAGGAATAATGGATTTCGAAAGGTTCTTCGTCACATCGCAGGACACGTGAATCTCGCTATTGGCGCACGCGAAAAAAGTTCAATGCCGAATGAACGGATTTCTTTCTTCGACCAAACAAAGAGTTCGATTTCATCGTTCGGATCAGCGAGGAAAAAAAAAACACATTCACATCGAATAAGTCGAACTGGTCATCATTCTTCTTCTTTCATCATACAATTGACTTCTTCGAAATTTCTAGGCTCAGGCCTTTCTCGCGACTTTTCATTCTCCTTTTTTAAAAACGTATCTGAATACACGAGGGATTCGAAAGACCTTCGAGGACCATAAATACGCGCAGGTAACTCCTCACCGAACGACGACGCGAGGTCGAGAGAGCGAAATGTCGTAAAGCTAGTTTAAACTTTTGGACAGCAGAGATGTGTGCTATCGACGTGCTTGCAACGATAACTCTGTCTAGTTTATGAATTCCACGACGTAGAAATCGCTAGCCTGGGACGCACACAGCCTCTGGTCAGCGAAGTCAACATAATTTTTGACTGCGCGATTAAAAATGTATGGCCCGCTGCTGCCGCTGCAACGTCGACGCGGCAAAACGGCGCGGAAAAACGATTCGTCTTTGTACGGCGCGACGGCAACGGCAGCGTGCACCACCGCTTATGGTAATATTTCGTGCATCGCGCGACATGCATAATGCAGCCAGAACTCGAAATTTATGCCGTGGGCGCGAGAGGAAACGGTCGTAATGTAAGACAGGCGACCGACTCTCGCCTGCCCTAAACGCCAGGGAACGTTCTGCAGCTATGCATCATCGATGAGGTATAAACGTAAGACGGTCTCTCTACGAACTTCAGAAATGTGTCTTTTGACGGGACAATCGTCCCGGTGAATAGCAACGAGATCTTTTCGCTCACCTCTTCGAAAGCAATCTCGGGCAAACTCACTTCAACGGAATGTTAATTTGTGGATTTCGTTTTAGGAATTTGTGGAAAGCCACGATAAATAGTCTACGTCGAGAGGCACTTTTATCGCGGATAATTCGGCTGTAAATTGCGGGAGAGACATCCTGCGCATGCACGCATATATTTCCCTAATGGAGATATGATGCCACCAAGTTTTAATAATTAAACAGTTATTAATATACGGGCGTTTGCTGAAGCTAGTGACGGTCACTGCCGTAATTTTCATATATTCATCGCGTAATGCACGAAAAACTAAATATTAACGCTTCCGATGTAATCTTATCATTTTCCTCTTCTCTCTCTCACTAGATTACTTATGTATTGGAAACTATCGCTTTTTATAGGCAATTCATTAATATTATTTATATTCAGACTTGTGTGCCTCACTATATTTTGTTATTATTTCATTATTATTATAACAAATATTAAAAGGAGTTCGATAAAATGTAAAAAGAAAAGAAGAATGAGAAAAAATTTGCCTTCTTTTTTCTATTTACATTTTACGAAGCTCTGACTTTTCAGTGCCAATTCTTTTTGTCCCGAGCGCGTTTCTTTGCGCGGATTTCTTACGCGAATCGCGTGGACGCGGCGAAAATTTCGTGGGTGCGAAGCGAGGCGTGCGGGGCGAAGCCTTGGCCTCAGCTGATTTGTATTTGTTTCTTTTTTTTAGAGAGAGCAGTGCTGTCACCAGTGCCTTCTATTGGCACGAAAATTTCTATGCGACTATTATAATTTTTTTTCTCTTTTTTTAAATAAGAATAAAAGAGTTATGATAATCTAATTTATTTTATATTTACAACCTTAACTTGTTAATATTTCTTTAGATTCAAAAGTGATATGGAAAAGTTTGATAATCGTGGAGAAATCAAAGTGCCTGCCGGAAGGCGATTTCGTTTTGTACATACCCTGGTTTCTTCCTCTACTTCTTCAAACGTTTCACCGTTATTTGAAGATATTTAAGAAGATTTTGAAAGGTACTGGGGCAGATATTGCATTCACAATCAGTAATATAACGTGTCACGGCGGAGTGTTTATTACAGGCGTTGCATCTGTGAGAAAATTCCCTGCCACCGATTCGCAAATAATGTGTATAATATTTAACGGCTGAAGGCCGTTGAAGGAAGCAGTTAAAACAAAGTGTCTCAGAATTTCCTCTGTTTTGATAAAAAAAAATTCTATTATGCACGGTTAACACGGTATAAGAAAACGACTGCTGGCGGGGGCCGATGTTGCGCACCAGTCCGTTCGGTTAATGATAGTTGTATTACTTTACACATTACAATTTATGTAATTATCTTATTAATTTTATTATAGGATTATTTTCTTTTTAAATATCTATCTTATTATATTATCTTATTTTATTTTATCTTATCCCACCGCTCTGTCAGCAATTTTTGTTATATTCAATTCCGAGCGTTCCAATTTTTACGATACTATATGTAACTATATATATTTAGAGCTTGAGGGGAGAATATCCCAGGGCGCGCATAATAAATAATGATTCTTTCTCTCTTTTTTATTTCTTTTAAAAAGTATATTCGCAAGCAATGCACCAGGGAGTTCGAATTAAATCAGCCGTGTCAAATTAATTCGGTAAGGAAGAAACTCGTTAACAGCGTCAAGCGTACACCGGCCTCGCAGCTTTTAATTTCTCTTCGAAGAGAAGGGAAAAAAAAAGGAGTCCCGATGGCAAAACTTGTGTGTTAACTTCCGACGCAAGAAGTTCTCTCGATCCGCTCCACCTTGCACGAGGAGAACATTTTCGTCTTGCCGCAGCACCGTGATTCGTCCCGAGCGAGCCAACACTCCGATTCGCTTCTCCGACCTAGCTCTCACTTTCTGCCCTCCGTTCCACGAAATCCCTCCCCCTGTTGCCCTCCCTTCATCTCCGATCCCTCTGTCTTCCCACGCGTTCGATCGCGCGAGATTCACCGTCGACGAAATTAGCCTCGGCAAAATACGGGGACCATCTGCACCCTAAAAGAACCCCGCCGCCGTTTGGGAGAATGATCTACACGCAGTTACATTTCCGTCTACCATTATTGGTTCCCATATACTTGAAAATATCACGCAGCATTTTTACTACAATGGCAAATACGAAGGGACAAGTGATTAAATAATCGATACAATCGAAGCTCAAGTGATCAGAGATTGACGTTGTTTTAATCGGATATCAACAATCGAAAGTGGAGTCCGATCTCAAGCATTACGATAATCACAAGATAACAAGGATTGAGTAATAAGACTGCCTCGCCGAGACAATTCACGGTGATTCGATTCGTCGTTCTTGTGCATTTACCTGAAAATGTTATATTCGATTCGCAATTTTTGCTCATTTACCTCAGAACGTTAAAGAGTTGTATATACTCGCTCTTATCGTAGATCTCTACCTTCCGGCTAAGGGGATCGCTAAGCGTCGCACGTTGGGACTGTTGGGAATTCTCTTTGTTACGTCGGGAACGGATCTATCGAATCCCTCCCCGTCCGAATAGGATTTGTATAGCGCGTCGGCGGAAACGAAAGTAAGAGCGACGCGACGCGAGGGGCGTAAGGCGAGACGTGCGAGATCAACAAAACGCACTGGATGCAATCCGCCTCTATACTGTTGCTGTTACGGCATCTGATCCGCGAGCGCGACCGGCTCCCTCACCTAACCTTAACACAACTCCTCCATCGCCGTGCTCCACACTCTCCTCTCCGCCTCGCTCGCACGCTCGACCGGTGTGTCGCCGTCAGGTGTATCGCACTCACCTCGGTATCGGTGCGCAGGTGTTCCGCCAGGGACGACGATGACGACGACGGCGGCCGGCGGCGGCGACGACGACGACGATAAGGTGGGTACGACGAGTCCTTACCGTTTAAAGAAAAAGCTTACGACACCGGCGGCGACTCCCCCGCACGCCTCCGTATATATCCTCGTGCGGAAACGCGCCGTAGTTAAAACCGGGCAGGAAAAAAAATGCCGGGCGACGCTCCGGAGCGCACGACGACGCGTCGGCGCGCGACGAGTGAAAGGGAGACGGATATAAAGAAATGTATACGCGCGGCACTACCGACGTGAGAAACGCAAGGAACGACGACCGCACGGCGACGACGGCGGCGACGGCGATACCGCGACAAAACCGCCTTAACCGCTGGGCGCGTACTGTACGGAACGAACGGACGACGGCAGTATGGCGCCCGGCGGGGCTTCCCCGCACGTCGCGCTCCCTTCTTCGGCAACCCCACTCGTCGCCACGCTGTCGACTATTGTTATCTCCGTCTCACTCCCACCCTGCAGCTCGTCATCTCGCTTCAATTCGCGCATTGCCACGCTGTACAGCATCTCTCTCTCTCTCTCTGCCCCCTCTCCTTCTCCCATCTATCTGTCTCTCTCTCTCTTCTTCTGTCATTTCCGTCTCTTTTCATCTTTCGCAGTTTGAAACTGAATACTAACACACCTATATCCTTCTCTTTCGCACAGACACGGTCTCAGCTGTCGCTGATCCGCCGCCGGTCTGTTTCCCTTCGACGAACGCATACACGTAATCTCTCTTTCTCTCGAACGTGGACTCTATCTCACCGAACCAACGTAGGTTCCTCTTCGTCGCGCCCTTCAATTTACACATCTCTCTTCAACTCACAAACCGCGCTGGCGCAGAGAGAGAGAGTGCATCCTTCCCTTCTCATTCTCTCCTCCGATTAGTCTCTCTCTCTCTCTCTCTCTCCTTCAACGGCCTCCTCCCGCTCGACTCCCGCTCCCTATCGACTCTCTCGCTATCGATGACGGTATCTCTCTCTTTCTCTCTTCTGTTTGCAGTTCAGCCAATCCCACCTCGCGGTCTCTCGATTAAGAGAGAAGCAGGAGAAAATCCTGCGCGCGTGTGCGTATATATATTATTTTTTTTCTATATAAGTGCATCTCTCAGGCGATACTTTCCGTAGGCACCACCGGTGACAGGCCAATCGACACGCGGTCGGAGCACTGTCTCTCGAGGTCGCGCGACCAGACGTGTGCTCTTCTTCGCTTTACCCCTCCGTGGACCACGCCGGGAAACGTGGGCGAGATTAATATTAGATCGATTGTCGTTAATAACATCTCCGGTGCTATGTCACAGCACGGCGCTATTTATTGCCAGCCGGGTGCAACAACCATTGTCATCGACGCGATGCATCGCGGGATTTCGCCGGGATGCATGTTGCACGTAAATTTCATCCTCTATTCTTTTTTTTTCATTTTTAACAACAATTCGCTCGAGCGCAAACCGACAAATCAATCAGTCGATAAACATGCCTATTTCCATGTTGTCCGCATCGTCGAGATAAAAACGCGCAATGCGGTTTTTAGAACAGCGAAACGCGTAGGTGAAGTCAAGTGTAATCTTTTTTTTTCTAACACCGGACGAAATTAATTACAGAACATCACGAGACGATCACGAAACGATGTCGCCAAGTTAGCTGCGTGATTGTTCCTTTCACATGAGTCTTTGTTGCTATCAAGCGCATCGTAGCTTCTTAGTATTAACTCCTTCAGACATAATTTTATATAATGGAATGACGTTAATTTTCTTTTCAATTTAAGGACACTTGATAATTTAATTCACACTCTAAGAATTTTTTCGAAATTTAAATTATAATTTTCCAATACGTATGTTATCATCTGATTTCAGATGATGTCGATAGAACTATCAAATAATTTCAACGAATGTTTTCAAATTTGATGTACATTACAATGTATAAAAAGGCTGAGAGGGTTATGCAACGGCGTTATTTATCGCTGTCGTTGGCGACGGGTAACGTCATCGTAACACCCGTTATCATACCACAGCCGACTCGCATCTTGACGAGAGCGACCGCTTTTATTTCTTCGTTGACGCAAAATAGACGTCGCGCCTCCCAAGGGCGAGAGTGACGTTGTATCACTCACGCGAAAGAGTTCACCGTTTTGTGGAAAACGCGAGTGCAAGGAGATTAAAAAGGTATCGATCTTCGAATGCGTAAAAGTCGTGAATTTCTGCGAAAGAGGTATATTTTTAAGAGATATATATCCTTGATAAATTCGTACGTTCATTATTAAAGCCGATGCCACAGCTATTTAGCATCTCTGTTATAAATGCCACTTTGGGATAAACTTCAAAGAGCCTCTTAATCAGTTCATAAACTTTTCCAATAAGATCTTCAACCGCCATCCTCCACGTTCATTGTTCATCGAGCTTAACAACTTTTGCGTCGACGCCGGAAATTATTACTATAAATTTCCACCGGCTGACCTTTCGTTTGATAAAACGCATTTTGCACGCTGGGATGCAAGAGAGATATGCAGCGTGAGCGCGCGCGAAAATGCAGCGACGAAACGAACGGGAAATGACATTAACGTTAAATTAACTGCCGTGAACTTCTGCGCATTTTATATTTTCCGATATGTCACCGGGTGCGGTGATACAATCGAGATGCTATAAACAACAATGATAATTTTGATTAATACGCAATTTAGTCGGTGAAACGTATAGATGCGATATACTGCATTTCTGACGAAAAAATATTCTGGTAAAATCATTTCATATTTAGTATACAGAGTGTCCAAAAAGTTTCGAGACACTTGAATATCACGGAAAATATAAGTATTACAGAAAAGTGTTTCAGACAAAAGTTGTTGGGTTCAAAAAGATCTATTTACTGATTACACCGGTTTCTACAGTTTACTTACAAACTATATCAGTATAATATTTTTTATTTTAATTTTTTCATATTTATTTACTTTCTAACATATTCATTTTGTATTAAATCAGGGTGTCTAGCGATATCTGACTAATCCATTCAAGGATAATTCCAGGATATTCCAGGTAAAAAATCCTAGTTTTATATCCATCGATTAATTTCCATCACTTGATTAATTTTCATCGATTCGCACAATGTTATACGCTTTGTACTATCAAGAATTTGAAGTATCAAGTTAGGATTCTATATGACGAATGAATTAAAATGCTAACAAATTCGGAACAAAATTATTTATTGCTTCATAAATAATATCAAACAAATATTTTATAAACATAAACGATTTTACTCTCGTTTTTCATTTTCTGTTACTCGAGATAAACGTTATCTCGTTAACGAACTTTAGAAGAAAACACATATCAAGAAATATAAGGCTAATTCTACAATGTGCTTTTTGTTTCTTGGCTTTTTTGATCAAGAAGGCAACCCAATGGGGAGAGAATGTTTTTTAAACGTCTTTTAAACGTTTAAAAACCGTTTAAAAAAGTTTCCTCACAAAGAGGAAAAAAGCAAAAGGTAAAAAACAAGAAACAAAGAGCACATTGTATTATAGAACAATCATTCTTATTAGAAATGATAGAAAATTGTCACTTTGACGAATTTATCTTTCGACATTACTGTGTACTTACGAGAATTTGTACGAGTATAGAGTTATAGAAGATCAATCGATAGAAAATAAATTAATAAATTAAAAAGAAATTGTTTTTCCGTTAATTGCTCGGCTACTTTCGATATTCAACATTGTGCAACGCAGACATATACGCTCTAAATATAAGTTTGCCTCTTCTGGCCCGGAGCGATTCTGCGTGAGCGTGCGCGGGCGATAAACGAGTTTCGATAGATGCCAGTCGCGAGAGGTGAGCGACGATAACGCGGCGCGAGAGCAATTAGTTTAACGCATTTTAAACGGCAAGCGACATTAACACGGAAATGTCGCCGTCCGACGATACGACAAGCGAGTAAATATAGCCGGGGACATGTATGATGCGCGTTCTCACCAAGGCACGCGAATAAAGAGAACAAAATCTTGGAAAAACATCACTGGGCTCTTTCGGCGCTTCTTGCAACTTTGCGGAGATAAGTTTTTCGCGGGGCTTAATGCGACACTCTCGTGGGTCATAAAATTCATATCGCGTGCCGGGAACCCCAACAACAACTTGACCGTTGACGACCGAACATCAAGACGTTCGCTTTTTTCTCTCGCTTCCTGACGACTCTAAGAATTTCAGGAACGAGGTCAAGCATCAGCCTGTATCAGCTGAGATGAAGAGACACGTTACTATTAATATTACAAGTATAATTGAACGCGCAAAAACTGATCCTCCCGTTAAATATGTACATATATACTGCGCGCTACTCGATTTAACGAGTAACTTGATTATAGGTAGATTAAATATCGATCTTGGCCAGATCCGCAGTTCGCCGAGACGGTTAACTTATCGATTTTCCACAAAGGAGATGATGTATCCTTAATAAAGTGGCACGTAAAGTTACGCGCGTAATCTCACGCTCGATTTTCCTTACTTGATATTTCTCGTGGCGGTGCATTTTACGGAAGTTATGTGTCGGGGAATATTGATTCTGGCGAAGGAATAGTACAATATATCTCGCCGAATATTTTGTCGGATGTTACGTTTAACCTTTTGGAGCTGACAGTGCGGGTCTCATTCAATTCACGTTACATCTACATATATATGCGTATTATTGTTATTAAAATACATTTAATATTCATTCTTTTATATGAGAAGTTATGTATGTCACTTTGATTTTGTAAAATTAATTAATGCTTTCTAACTCTTTAGGGATGAGTGTTGCATATTTGCAATGTTTATTTTAATATTAAATTGGAGGTAAATTCGGAATCTGTGCACACATTAGTTATATTTGTGAGAAATGAAAATAAAAGTGTATGTAGCGTTGAACACCGAAATAAAGTTTTACCTGCCAGAAAGGCTATATAACGATATATAATAAGTATATGTGTATCAATAATGTAAATAAAGAGATTAATTACAAGCCACTTTTAGCAAAAGTAGTGAAAAAATAACTTTTTGTCTCTATAGTGTTAAAATATGAATAACTTTGTGGTTCCAAGAATAAATAAAACATATAAGTATAAATTCTATATCTTTGTATTTGACTTCCGTGTTAAAGAGAACTCAAATTCAGAGTCGAAACGTTTG